ATCTCATTATTCACTGAATAATGCTGAAATACTTTTTCTATCTATTTATTTGTGATTTCCAACTTTGAAATGTTTTGTGACTCCTATGAATCTTATCATTGCATTTTTTTTCTGTTTATTGTTCTTAGTTCTTTAAAAGTCAGGGTGTGTACTGCCTTTTCGCATCGTACTTATCTACCAGATCTAGCGATAGATAATAGCATCATAACTTCTATTACATTTTGAATGAGGAATTAGAGGGATTGGACAGAGAACCTCTTCGCTAATTTCTAATAATCAAGCGACTTTGGAAGTTTTCTTCGTGTTTCCCGAACATTCCAGCTCTTGTCTGCTGGCTGCGAAAAGCTTGTAATTATCGATTCTCCTAGTATGAATTCCTGTAAATTGGTCTAGAGCTCCTTCTATACTCTGCTCTTAATTCGAATAGACGATTTTGGTTTTCTACTGGTTTTTTTCCAAACCTTTATGTCATTTATGTATGGAACAGGGCAATTTTACAGTGAAATCAAGTGTTTCTATAGTATTTATGGAGTAAATCAATAATTTTAGGCTACTTGACCGACCACCCAACAAAGATGACATCCCTCAATATCGAGAATTGCAAAGGATACTTGCCACCGAAGTTGTGTACCCGCTGAGAAAGTAAGCATTTGAGTCTCTGATGAGTTTCCTTCGCCTATGCTGCTCTTTCAGGTTCCACTACGTGCGAGCCGACCATATAATGAAAGTTCGAGAATTGCTTGCGAAAGCGTTGCCTCAAATGAGAGGACTCACAAGTGAGGAGAAAGATCCGGAAGAAGTACTAACTGCATTGTTCGGTCAACTATTGAAAGCGCCACCCCTAGTAGAATTAATGTGAGTTTTGATTTTTAGGGCATATGTATAAAGATTTTTAAAATTTATATTTGTTTTAGTAACCTAAAAGATAACAAGGTGGATCGTACGTATCTCTGTCCGCTGATCGTAGACGACTGGACAGCTGGCGTTGCAACAACGCAACACCTTCTAGAACGATCTATGCGATCGGCGAATGTGAAGTTCGCGTACCCTCCGAAAACGTTGATCTTGCAGGTAGAGTCAGAAATAAATTGCGCTTTAGTGTAAAACAACGTACAGCGGATACACTGACTCGAGCGCAGACGTTAGACCTATTTAGATGCTCAGTTGATTTTTCTCTCAATCTGACGTCTGTGCTTTCTGGATTTGGTGTATTGCGTGCAGTCTCACAATTTCTTATTGTGTGCTCAGACTTCTTGAAAAATTTGATTTACAGTTACCCCGATATGGTCAACAAAAGCTTTTCGACAAGATTCTACCTTTAGAACGTATAGAAATTACTGGATTAGTTAATAATGGTGAG